AGACGGTGAGATTACAGTCAAGCTTTGCTCATCCCACTGCACTTGACATTCCAGTCTCTGTACTGTCCCTTAGTCCACTTTTCTCTTCCTCTGATTTCTCACAGGTACAGTTATATTTTAGCTACTCTCTGAATACTGAAATGGCCTTATCTCTTTCTCCATTAAAAAAAAATTGCTGCCCATTTCAAGCTGGCATCTTGAACACCATCCATATTTCCTACTTTGTTATTGTCCTTTTTTACAGTTCCCAACTATTTTAAATTTTTATGTTTATTATACAATTAGCATATTATACTTTGTACCTACTGTTATATATTCCAGCCATCGAAAATGAAATAACGTAACCAGTTAAGATTTTTTTGTTGGTGGTGGTGGTTTCTGTTTTTACTCTTGTTACAGTGCTAGGGATCCAAACTAAGGCCTCCATCCTGTTCGGCAAGCACTTTACCACTGAGCTACATCCTCAAGCCTCCTTAAAATTTTGTTTACTCAGAACACTTTGTACATATTTTTATTATCACTTATCACCATATTGTAATTATTTGTTTATTGCATACTATTCATCTTTTAAAACATTAGTATAATGAAGCCATAGTGTATGTATAATAAATGTTCTGTGAGTGAAGATTTCTGATATAATTTATCTCTGCCCTGGGGTCAGTAGTGGGAGACCCTAAACCTGAGTACCACTGTAGTATTTAGGATAATTCGCTTGTTATTCCTGTGTGTTTTTATAAGCATTCTCAAAGCCATTTTTTAACACAGGAGGCCATAGGTAGAAGGAATGCAATTGGAGGCTGGCTCCAGAGAAAAACACGAGACCCTACCTGAAAAATAAGTGCAGCAAAAAAGGGCTGGGGATATATCTCAAGTGGTAGAGACTTGCCTATCAAGCACAGGGCCCTGAGTTCAGACCCTAGTATCGTCTCCTCCCTGTTCCCCCTGCCAAAAAAAAACAAAGTAAAAATACACTGATTTGATAATCAGTGTAATTTAAGTAATTTAATTTTGGATGGTAGCTTTTGTGCATAGGTAGGCACGGTTATACTTATTTTGTTAGAGTTCTAAATTGTAAGCCTGTTTTTTTTTTTAATGCCTTTGGTTGAATTTATGCTACTGGTATTATAAATGTAGTAATTTTATATAAAAATGATAATTTCACTTCTCAGTTCTTATATAAATCCTCTTTTAGATTTATTTATTTACTTTTTGGTGGCACTGGAGTTTGAACTCTGGGCTTCATGCTTGCTAAGAAGGTGCTCTATCACTTGAGCCACACCCATATCCCTTTTTTGCTTTAGTTATTTTTCAGGTAGGGTTTCTCATTGTCCACTGTGATCTTCCTACTTCCACACCCCTTCATAACTAGCACCATGTCCAGCTTGTTTGTTGAGATGGGGTATCACTAACTTTTTGCCTGAGCTTACCTTTATGATCCTCCTGATCTCTGCATCATGAGCAACTGGAATTATAGGAATGAACCTTCAATTGTGACATTTTCATACACACATATAATGTATTTTGGTATGCACCTCCCCTCTAAATCAAAGCAACCCTTCTAACTCAGATAAATGTCCTTAAGTCAACCATCCTGACTATTTCCAAGGACTTTACACTTTCAGAGTACATGTAAAGTAGTTGATGATATCAGAACTTGCAGCTACCACCTGGGAGAAAACAACATATATCAACAATCAGTATAGTATTTGTTTCTTCAGCCCAGCTAAGGAGACTAGACTGTCCATCTCAGGGTCACTGGAGCAAACTATATTATGGGTTCAGTTTAGCAGTTCAAGTCACCAGAGGTCCTGAAACTAGAGACTATCCTAGGATAAGTTCCAGCTATATTGTAATAAATTGGGCCCCTTTCATCAGTAGGTGCTGCTGGCTGTGCTGGTAGGAGACCTCCTGAAGCCCGAGTTCCTGCCTGTCTTTTAATTAGAGTCATTTGTAAGTGTCACTGCTTTGCGCATTGTGCATCTACTGGGCACCTGTTAAATTCCACTATTTCTGATCTTTTATGCTTTTCTCTTTCAAAACTTGTTGCCACTTTGTTTCAGTGAATTGAATCTCCTTTAAAAGGATTCTTCATCTTTCTCATCACTGACATCTTGGCCAATGAACCGGTTAAGTACCTGTCTAGCTGTAAATTGTCATTTTTAACAAACCAATATAAAATCTGTATTAGTATTCAGTAAAATTCTGTGTGTGTCAAGTCACTGAGTGAGAGGGGAGAGAATGTTGAGGCAGGATAGGGTCCCACTCGGTAACCCAGACTGGCCTTGAACTCATGATGTTCCTGACTCAGCCTCCTGGGTGCTGGAATTATATGCATACACCACCATGCCTGGCTTTAAGTCACATTTAGTAGGAATAATAACTGCATATTGAGCATTTACTGTGTGCTAGGCATTGTTCTAACAATTGCCTGACCTGAATTAACATGTATAGTCTACCAAAAACCTTTTTAACTGCTGATTTTGGGGCAGGATTTATGTACTATACATTTAAGACTTTTTTTTCTTTGAAATGTGGTTTACACATATTTCCTCCCAATTTGTGGCTTGTCTCTTCATCCTCTTTAGGATCTTTTTCAGAGCAAAAGTGGATTTTTTGCCTTTTGTTTGATAGTCCAGTTTATCAGTATTTTCCTTTATGGGTCATACCTTTGGTGTTCTAGACCAGTTGGGTTTTGGTTTTTTTGTTGTTGTTTTGGCAGTACTGGGGTTTGAACTCTTGGCCTACACTTGCTAGGCAGGCGCTATAACATTTGAGATGAGTATTTAATGAAGTCCTGAAATGGATATACCTTTTTTCCCCTAATTTATAAGTAAACATAAGCTCTGAATTTCATAATTCTGGACCTTTTGATATCCAAACAAGTGAATTTAGAGGAAATAGATTACAAGTAAAAGCACTAAATTTGGATAATACTAAGTTAAAATATGCACAAGTGTTCTAAAACTATGATGGTCCTGGTGATAGCGGTGTACTTTAAATTACAAGATATTATGTGTCGGGATTATGCTGTGCGTTCTGTTTCAGATACACTGCATTAGAGGTCTTATCTCCATTCACACACATCCACATGTATTTATATGTTTGTAGCTATTGTCAGTTGAAGAACCTGAGATTCCAGTTGTGCCCATGGTTCCATAATAAAGGAAATAAAGTCATGTCTTTCATCCATTCTTTCTGCCTTAGATGCCTACAGGCTTGCAATTTGTGTTGTGGTATAAACTATGTCAGCCATAAAACTCAAACTCCATCTTTGTGTATGATAATATTCCATTCAATGATATTGTCTATATTTTTTAATTTTTAACTTATTAGAGTAAGTCAGCATTTCTTGTTTTATCGACATTGACGTCAAATCAGTTAACCTACTTAGCTGTCTTTGGAATGGGGCTTTTACATTCTCTTCTGTAATAAATGCAAACAGCACTTTGCTGAGTTTTCTTGTTAACCATTCTATAGAATGTAGTTAACAGTTGTTAATAGTACTGAGGCTTTCTCTTTACTAAGCAAATACTTCATTAGAAAAGGTCATCAAAGGTTATAACTTTTTTGGGGGGGCAGGCACTAGGGTTTGAACTCAGGGCTGAAGGTTAAACTTTTTGTTAATAGCTGGTTAGGTTTGGAAGAGAATTGAAAAATGTCAGGTACTATGAAATAACAGGACATTTTTCTCAATAGTGGGCTTAGAGCATGTTCTTTTTTTAATATGTAACCAAGGTGACTTGGCTTTTAGCATATTGTTATCAGGTAATTTTAGCATAGCTATGTCACCTGACAATTCAGTAACTAATGAAATCTCTAATCTCTGGGAAGAGGTTTGACTTTGCTACTTTCAGTCAGAGTATAAAAGGTAGATTTTGAGTTTCTCTTTAAATTGGGAATACATTTCTGCCCCTCCTTTTCTACTGTCTTAGTCCCACTTCTCATCATGTAAGTTTGCTTTATTCAGTCAGCCTCTCACCAGTCATCATGATTTTTACCTCTTAACCAAGTCATCATCACAGCACTGCTTTCCATTAGACCTCAGAAAAAGCCTCTTTCATCACGTCACTTCCTTTGCTAAAATGTCTTAAAAGTCTGTTTGTGGCCTGGAAGATAGAAAGCTCTAAGTGGGTGGAGGCTATTTTAAGTTATTTCTGCAGTCCCCTGTTCATTCCTTTTTTTTCTCCCAACTTCCCTAACCCATAGTATCTTTGAGTAGTTTATCACTTGCCTGGGCATGATGGTATACCTGGTTTCAGCTTGTGTAGAACTTCTTAAATTGAAGTATGTCAGTGATAATATATTTAAGTCCCTAAACAGTTCAGTTAATGAAGTGAATTATATTCGATGCATATTAACTACCAAGATTCTCATTATTTTTCTCCAGTTTATTTGAGAGAGAGAATGTTACAAATGAGTGGTTGACGGCACGAGGACACAAGATCGTAGAGCTCATGAATAGTAGTGTTCTTCACTCCCCTGGCTGAGTGTGAAGCCTCTGTCCTTGGGATCACCGTGATGCCTCCATCATGTTGAGTCAAATGTGGATAATGCAGTATAAGTATTAGTAAGAGAGTCTGGCATAGTGATTGGCCTTGTAGCTTTATTGTACCTTCAAAATTTGATATTAACTTAGTATTATCAAGTGTCATCTTGTTTTTCCAAAAGTTCCTTCTCTGATGTAGTATTTAGTTGAATTTGGTTGTTATGTCTTTGACTCTAGAATTGACAAGTATTGACAATAACCTCTCTCTCTCTCTCTCTCTCTCATATTCTTTTATTTTTAAATGCCTTACTTTTTGTATTTCCTAAGAATTAGATTTACCTGAATTTACCGTGTTAGACACTTTCAGCAATGATACCGCATCTCTGTTATGTGCATCTGATTACACCGCACCATCAGACACCTAATGCCAGTGTGAGAATAATTATCTACTAATGTATGACTAGCAGCAGCAAAGATGTAATTGCTCAGATTAATTTTTTTATTTTTCAAATAGACAACAACTGAACGACCTTTTATTCAGAAGCTTTTTCGTCCTGTGGCTGCAGATGGACAGCTGCATACACTAGGAGATCTCCTCAGAGAAGTCTGTCCTTCTGCCATTGCTCCTGAAGGTATGTAGTTAGCAGCAGTATGACAGTTCTTTCATTTTCTATTCTAAACTTTTTATTACTGAGGTCAAATAAACATTATACCTTTGTACATAACATTTAGTTATTTCAGGAAGATATTTTCATTATCTTGTAGGGTGAAATATCTTGTAACAGAAACACTTGTGACAAATAACAAATCGACACTCTTTGGCAAAGTAAAAAACATTGGCTTTAAATTGCCCACTTACCACATTTCTGGTAACAGAGCACAATGTTTTGGGATTTGGAGTATTTGAAATTTGCACATTAGTGATGTTTGATGACGCATGCACACACACACACACACACACACACTGCTTTTTTTTCACCTCATCATAGCCCAATTATTGACTGATTTGTAACCCCAGCCCTATGATTGATAACCGCTAGTTGCTGATTGACCTTTTTAGAACATTTCAGGGGCACACTATCATGCTCACGAATGCAATGTATTTATTATATATAGAAAAAATGTTAAGCTTGCCCTTAAACTCCTAGGTGGAAAGAGGTAAGGCGTTAGTAGATATGAAAGTAAGACTTCAGTAATGTTCCTCTTCTTATGAAAAAGTCTGAGGAAGTGGTTTTCCTAAGAAGTAGAGTTAGAAACAGTGGGATTGGGGAGCATGTTGAATCTCTAACCTAAATAACTAGACAAATGTTATGGAAGTTACAGCATGTCATTCTGTCTGTAGATATAATGATTTTCTTCTGTCAAAGATGCTGGCCTATACTGGCATTCCTTTGTACATTTAGCACTTCTGAGATGAACAGAGGCACATTGGGAAAGGGAGAAGAGGGGCCTCTAAAACACCATCAGAACCTGTATCAGAGGGAATAAGGAAATAGACCATTGTCCTTCAGATTAATTTAATTCAGCTCTTCATTTTTTTAAATCACAATTTTGGTGTTTTTTTTTTGGTGGTACTGGCATTTGAACTCAGGGCCTCATGCTTGCTAGGCAGGCACTCTACCACCTGAGCCACTGCACCAGCCCTAGCTCTTCATTTTTTTATACAATTTGTTCAATATCTCTCTCTTTGCTGTGGTTCCATTTGTTTTCATTTTCTTTTCTTTTAAGTCACTTTTTTTGTTGTTGTTTGTTTGTTTTGGTCTCTTGGCTGTACTGGGGTTTGAACTCAGTCCTGAGATTTGAACTCAGGACCTCACACTTGCTAAGCAGGTGCCTGAGCCACTCTGCCAGCCCTGTTCTATTTTTAAAAATCTTTTACTTCAGATTAAAATGATATTCTGAAATGCATGCTTTTTCCCAGTTTTTCATCCTATGATTTTTGTTTAGTATCTAGTTCCCTGCATTTTGTCCTCTTACATTACTTCCTGCTACAGTTTTAGGAACAGGAACTTCTACTGTGTTTACCTTATTATGTTAGCATTCCCACATACAATTCTGGCCACTTTTCTTGTTGAATTTATTTAAATAATGACTAAGAACATCAGGCATATAAAGGAAAACAGTCTCTGCCCTCTATCATAATGCACTATTGCCATTCCTCCAGCCAGGCCACAGTAATACATACAAGATTAACATGGCCTTGCACAAGAATAGCATGCAAATTTGTGGCTATTTATTTTCTCAGAGATGTTTTGTTCTCTCCTAAGCACTAGCCTGCCCTCCCTGCATAACCTTTCCTGGAGAATACACAGTGTAACGTCCCAGTGTTTTTTAAAGATGGGGGCGGTGAAGTGTCCACTCACAACTTTAATCCTCAGGGTACCTCTTAGATTATTTCAAGTGCTTAGATGAGTACGTAGTATGGCAGACTTCTCCCCATTCAAACTTTCAAATACTTGCTTTGACTGAGGTACTGATACTTCATTGAAATGACATATATTGTACCTATATTTTGAAGACACTTTTGATGCTATGTTTCATACCAAGAAAAGGACACATCTTTAATACCCATATTTTCTCTAGAAAACATTTTGTCTTTGCTTCTTCTTTTGGTCACATCATAGTTATTCTGAGAAAAGATAATAATCTGTGGAGAGTATCCAAGGATATCAAGCCCACTGTTTGAGTAAAAAACTATTCACTTTGTGGTTCAGTACACCTGTAGCATTTTGACACACCTGCGCTCCAGTTGAAAGTGAAAGAGTTTAAGATTGGGTGTGTGTGGATAAGAACTGGCTGTCATTATAAGTTAAAAAGAGAAAGTACTTATAAAACTATGTGGCACCATTGTCTACCACTCCCCATGAGAAGTGATTCATGCATGAAAGAATTTCATCTTATTTCATCATATGAAAGTAGAATGTACTGATATTTATGAAGACGTGCTTTAGCTCATTGTTCTGTGGAGTAACTCATGATGAGCTGGTTTGTGTCTTTCTTTTTTTGATTTGTAAGTCACTAAGGGAGTTAGCCAACTTTGAGGTAACAGGAAATAACCAAAGGTGAGCTCAGGTACATTGTTTTTTTGGTTTCAGCTGTAGTTAAAAGTGACTCAGTGATCTAAGCCTCTGTACCTTACCTGAAGTGAAATACTCCTTTCTTCATTAAGAAAAACATGCTCTAAAATATCATAACAAAAATTAAAATCATGGCATATAGTTTTTATTTTGGAGACTATAAAACACCTATTAAACTTTATCCAGTCATTCTTCATTTCCCACTCTTCCGATATCATATATAAAAATCTGGTAGTCTAGGATAGCATATAATTTGATTTCAAGGTTCCATTGGTTAATCCTCTGTGACTGTTGGACTATTTTTAACCTGATTTTATATTTCATATTCCACAAACTGAGGACATGTGCAAAGAAAGTCTTCTATTCCGTAACAGCTGAAGTTTCCCTGCATCTCCCTCACCAAGAAATACAACCCTGTGACCACTTTGTTTTCCTCTTCATTTCTGCTCTGCTTCATGAGAATTTAGTTACTCCTGACACCCTTCCCACTACCATTTGACTTTTGGTTTCCATGTGATATAACAGATTTCATTATTCATCAGTCATTTTCTATACATTATTTATACTATCTTGTGTCACTGGGGATAGTAAGATGTGAGACACAGTCCCTGCTCTGAAAAAGTTTTGATCTAGTTGGTGTGGACAAAAGAATTGTACGGTTGTATCCCTCAACAGCTACCCAGAGGCTGATTGATAGAGGGTGGTGTGCTCAGAAATGTCCCTTCCCCTATTTGTTGAGGAAATAGTGTTTTTCTGCCTTTTCCCCATATGTATGCATGAAGTTTTTTATTTTTAGTAAGAGCAGAAATGTTGGAAAGGCACTGAGGAACTAAGTGGAATTGAGGCTGGGAAATTAGAATTAAATTATCATTTTATTTTTAATATATTTTGTGAGAAACCACAGAATAGTTGTTACAAATAAGAAACATGATGTGCTGTCCCCTCCCACACCCTTTGCTCTGTAGGATTAGAGTCTTTGGATGCAGTGAATTAACTGTTAGAAAAAAAAATCTAAATCCCCTCTAAATCTGACTATAGGAAACAGATCTTTCCAGTATTTGCACAGCAGTAAAGCTGGTTAATGATATTGTATGATTTGAGGTTTGAACCTGCAGTAGTCACAGTCATATGCATGATGACACTGCCCGCAGAAGAGCTAGCATTTCAATTTGTGAAGGCATGCCACACCTCCTCAGGATTTGAGATAATAATGGTTTATAATTTCAGTAATTGTTTGTGTTTTGTGTGTTCATTTAGAATTTGAATTAGAATGAACTAAATATCACTCTGTACCTTCACACTATTTGAATTGGGTAATCTGAATTTTTTTTTTAATGGATCCAGGTTTGATACTTAATAAAATAAATACATTTCCTGTTACATCTCATAGGTTTCTGTTCTCTGTTCCTTATTGCATACATATTTTACAAAATAAATTATGTCATTCACAGTGGGATTTCTAAGTTTTTCAAATGTAGCCCTTTATGAGCAAAGATCTTCTATAGTTATATTTAAATAAAATGTAAAGTGCAATTTATGCTTACTAATTACATTTTGTTTTCTTAAATTTTTTGCCTTGATTGCTATGCTTTGTCTCAACACATGGGCACTATTGACTAGTCTTAGTGAGACAGAATCTCTTAATGTCTAAGACTATTGACATTGAATGTCTTTCTAAAAGCAAAGAAATAGAACTGATTATTTTCTTTCTGTGTTATGGAGATGATGAGATTGCTGGACCTAAACAAAACAAAACAAATGCCTCTGATTTCCCCTCCTTAATTATTGTTCTTTATCTTAATCCCAATCTCATGAAGCTAAATGAATTAACCTGACTTTCCTAAACGTGGGAAACAGGGGCTTGTACAATATTCCACCTTTAGCAGTAGAATATAAAATTCTCTTACTAAAATAATATGCAAACCTCCCTTCATCCAAAAAAGTTCCATGAGACTTCAGCCTGGCCAATAGTACAGCTATTATCCATACTTCAAATACAGTGATTAATCCTATACTATTTTGTAATTCATATTTGATAAGTACTGATAGTTCCAATTAGAATTATTGGGTCATTTTATAAAAGAAGATCAAAAACATTTTGAACTTATGTTTTCAAAATTCTATTTAGTTGTTTAGTGAACACCTCTTAATGTCTAACTTTTAGCTTATTTTTATGTTATTGACAGGAGGCTTTTAATCAGTTTATAAGAATGGTCTTATAATTACTTAATACACTTGCCATATTCATAGCTAATTATATGGGGTTTTTTAATTTAAATTTTGTTTTATATCCTTACTGAGAAATTATGAACAAAAGTCAAATGAATTAATGTAGATGTGTTTTGAAATTATTGTTTAAAATATTAAGACTCAGTTCTGAAAACATTGCAGTTATAATAAATATATGACACAATATTTATTCATGGGAAATATGGGGAATAAATTTACTAGAATATGTGTTCATTAAGAACTGTACTGCCAAGTATAGATCCGGAAGAGATGTTAATGTAAGTATTTCTAAATGGGTTTGTAGTTCTCTGATAAACAGCACTCTC